TCAGTAGAAAAAAGTAGCAATGAAAGATAATAAAAAGAATAAAATTTTAACTGCTAGCCAGAGTAAATATATCTCATTTAAAAATTAATGAAAATGTAATTTACAATTGATCAAGAAACATCAATACACCCATGTTGGTATTTCTCCACCAACACACACATGAAGGAGGAATGGCTTTGAGGTGACTGGTACAGTGACCACAATGCTGTGTTTGCATGCAGAACGTTTTATAAAATTGGACATAGAAAATCTCAAGACCACGTACGGAATAAATTTCTATAAAGCTTAGCATTACAAAGAGGCTGAGAGGGGTTAACTGGTTGTTCTGGTTCAGATGTGTGTTTCTGTAGGGGGAGGTCAATACTATCAAATGGCACACTTCGTCCCTTAGGCGGAACCTCAAAAGCCAATTTGTTTCTTCAAGAGCCCTCCTGGAGATTCCTTTAAGGGCTGGTAATAAATACCAAACACAATCACCAGCACCACCCCTCTGTTGTTGTTTGTTGTTGTTACTGTTTTTAAAACCCAAACCAGGCCAGATGGGCCTGATTCAATCTGGCGGTTTCTTAACACCATACAGATGTGTAGCTGAGCAAGAACACCACACACCTACACCTTTGCCAGAGACTGACAACTATAGTGGTGGAGAAGGCAGCCTGTTGGAGAGGCGTGGATCTGGTGATTTGGGGGCTTAAAGGAGTCATATTTCTCTCCCTCTCTCCCCCCATTTCTCTCTCATATGTTGCTCTTGGTGGTTCCAAGACCACACTTTGAGAACCAGGGGCCTAGATTTGGGCCTTTACTGAACAAAGGTATATATTTATTTCACACAATCTTCATTAGGCAAATTTTTTTTTTTGCTAAACTTATTAAAGTGCCTCCAACATGTGTTCAAAAAACCATTCACAACCGCAGTCCTCCATAAATTGATTTCAAAGTATTTTAAAATAATTTGACTTGGCTTATTTCATGCCATTTTAAAAAATCATCATACTGTTCAATGACCTTTGACAAAGGCACTGCTTTGTCCCTCTTTCCTACTCACTTGTTCTTTTTAAATCCTTACTACCTTGGTCACTTATAGCTGAAATACATGCAAAGGCTTTAGGGACTGGGGGCTCTGGTTTAGATAAGGTCTCCTTCTCACACCAAGCCAGAGTCATAGCACACAACAAAGACAAATAGCGGGAGGGCTAGTGAGGCCTGTGCTTAGTAACTACCCGCCTCCACCCAATTTAATAACCACCACAGATATTGGACGACTGACATCAGTAAGAAATGGACTCGACAGAGTCACCTTGCACAAACAGGACACATTTCACAAACTTCTTAAATCTTTGTGTCTTTTACCTAAGTGGTAAGTAGTATTAATTCCATTTACACAAACATGTTAATGTACAATATGAAGGCTTGAGCTAAGCCTTCTCAGAGGCTTCTAAGTAGCTTTCTCTCAGAGTCCCTTGGTAGTAATATAATAGCACAGGGTTATCTAGATAATTGACCATCAGCTACTAACTACAATGATTCCAGGAGAAAACCATATTTTCTGTCCTCTGGAGTCAGCTGTCAGGGAGTCTGGTTTTTCCATGGTGGAAAAGAACTTGTACAATTAGTTGACGCCTAACATTCTGCAAGAACTTCATTCCTTTGGCTTAAGGCTGTTCCCCTGTTAAAATGCAAGCAACCCTCGAAAAAGGTAGCGTTAAGCCTCCCAATCTCAAGTCAATGAATTCATCCCTTTCCTGAGAGCATGATTTTTCTTAGGAGGAGAACAAAGTAGGAGGCACTAAGAAGAATCCGTGCTGGGCCACAAGGACTACAAGGGAGAAAGGAGCAGAAAGAACAGAAGGAAGGCCACAGGGTGGACCTCCACCTTCCTGTGGAAGTTCTCTGGCCATAGTTTTCCTCCTGAACGGGGTGCTAACTTGCCAGCTGAAATATTTGTGATAACACTGAAGATTCTTTAATGCACACAAAGGCTTTTGGCAACAAATGGAGAAACAGGAAGAAAACACTTGGCGCAAAACCTGCCCCCAAATCAGAACTACACTCAGAGGAGGAACAACCGATACTACTTTACAGAGTGCAAATCACAGGGCCGTGGCAAGGGTAAGGCACTCGTGGGGCCTTGAGAGTGGGCGTCTCCCCAATCGCCTCACCCTAGTCCTGGCCCTGGCAAATCATATCAAAGGAAAAGCTCACCATTGTACCACAGACTTGACGAACATAGAGGGCAGAAGCGGTGAGCAACAGAGCACTGACTGAGTGATAGCTAGTTTTTTTTTTTTTCCTGACTGGTTAGGGGTGAGGAGGGGGGCGGGTGCATGAGTAGATCTGCTCAGAGTGACAGGTACACAGAGACAACAACTGGATCTCTGTTGTCTAGATAAAGTAGATGCCAAGCAGAATGCTTGTTGGGGGAACCGTGGAGACTTGCCCATCTTTGTACATTCAAGGTCATTTTTTCCAGATCAACCTTGGTGGTCATGAGGCTAATATGAATGAGTGGCCTTGACTCCTTTGTGGTTGAGCTGTTGGTGTGGGTGCAGTTCATGGGTGTTAGGACTAAAAGACAAGTTGGAGCCAGGAGGGAGGCACAGGCAGGCCAATAGTGCAGGCAAAGGAGAGGAGCCACAAGCCAAGTCAGACTTTGTAGTAAGACTAACTTGCTCTCCACCACTCACATTTGAACCACAAATATATACCCACCAAGTGCAAATGTAGATATCCATTAACTGCCTCTGGGTGGGGGGGGAATCTCCCCCACTGTTGACTATATATACTGAAGCTACTCTAACAGAGCCACCTGTCACTAAGGACTAGATTTGGAGGGCAAATAGGGATAGGAACAGCTTGAAGCAGAGGGTTACCACCTGGGGCCAGTTTCATTTCCCTCCAACTTGCTGTGTATGCCATCCATAGATTACTCTCTTTCCTTATGCGTGCTGTATGTCACAGCAGTGGTAGTAACTTCCTGAGACCTCCCTGAAAGGGTTTCCCACATCGCCTCCAGCCTCACAGGAAGTGCACATTGTACTCAGGGGAGAAAGTTGAAGTTTATGGTATTAAGGGCAGGAGAGAAGTATTAGAAAGATGCTTGGTGATGTGCTAGTCAATGACTGGTAGTTATTATTATCATTAGCTTTAACAATCTGGTTGTTTAGGACTAGGTCCGCTCCCTGCAAAATCTGGAAATACAGAATGACTACTCTTAGTCGTAAGAGTTTTCTCTGACTGCAGACTCGCTGCCCCAAATCCTCTTGTGCTAATGGGCTTCTGGGGTCCTAGTGATGCAGACATGGTCTCGACATTCCAGGCATACAGAGTTGTAGAGAGGAAAGCAGGGGTTCGTTTGGGTCACTGAAACAACCTCAGTTTACACTTTTTGGGGGAATCCTCTGGAGGTAGCAAGGGAGGGGGTTGGCAAAGCCCATGAGAAGAAACAAACAAGACACTTCCAAAAAAAAAAAATCAGCAAAAGTAGCAAGCCCATATGCTCATACAATAGAGTTCAACAATTCACAATGGTTAGGGGAGCAGACCCAGGGAGCCTTTTGCTTCTGGTAGAAGCAAGGACACCCCATTCCCTCATTTCCCCACAGAGGAAAATGCTCTGTCTTTTGGAATTCTGAGTTAGGTCTGGTGTGATACTTATGTATAAACCACAGTCAAGACTGAAGTCAGGGTCTTACTATATAGATCAGGCTGGCCTCAAACTCACAGAAATCCGCTTGTTTCCAGTTCCCGGGTGTAGTGATTAAAACGGTATATTCCACATTCCTGACTGACTCATGTTTAAATTTAAGCAAAACTCATGAAATTTGGTTAAGATATTCATGTGAAATGGTTTAAATACTTTCAAAGTAACTAGATTTTCCCCAACTGCCTATTATTTAAGTGCTTCTTTCTAAATCTGAGAGAGAAGAGCTAGTTGCAAGTGAGTTGATGAGCTTGATCTTTTTCCATTTGTCTAGAATTCAGAACTAGAACCACCCAAGCAAGGATCTCAGCTTAGGGATTCTATGCCAGAGACCTGAGTCTTCTAAGTACTCAGTGGAGCTTTGCAGCCACTTTGCCCTTCTGGAGTGTGGGCAACTGAACTAACAGTCTTTCTTCCCATTGCTAAGGAGTGTGACCTATCAAACTGGAGATCTGCTTGTCTCTGGACCTCTTACTGCATCTTCCAGGGGACTAAGCAGGAGTTAGGGCAAGAGTACAGGAGGAATGGGTCAGGGAATTTTTTGTTTGTTTGTTTTTTTGCAAAGCACACTGCAAGTTCATGTCCTTTTGGCCCGCTGGGACCAGAAGACAATGAACTTTCCAACACTGGCCAGCAGGTTCTGTGTTCCGTGCTTTGCTTATCTTGTCCCCAGCCCCGCAGAAATAAGGTGTATGGAAATCAGGCATTCTTTGCTTTCAAAGTTGGGTTGACAAGAACAGCTAGTGCCGGTTGGCTTTGGAAGGGAAGGGGTAATTCTGATTGTTTTGGAACTCTTTCAGTTTTTTCTTTATCCTAGCTGCTCTTCTCCCTCCCTCCCCACCCATGTGGCTAGCATAAAGTTGGCCAAACAGCAGTATCTAAATAGCCCTTTTGCATTATGGGCCATAGCAGGTTGCCTTTTTGATTTTGCGTAGATCTCTTTCAGTCTGCAGAGTCCGATTTCCTTTAAACAAAACCCAAACAAGCACAAAAAGCACACTCTGAATCGAATGATGTGAGGCAAGGTACACTTACTTTCTACTCCTGGAGCCTCTGATGATAGTCCTTTACCTAATTACATCCTGTAATGAATGTTACATGCGAGTGAAATGAGAGTTCTTGGAGTATACAGCATGAGCTGGGCACAGATCCTGGCTACCCATGTTGACAGACATTCAAAAGACCTCAAGGCGCACATGCAAGTTACCTTGGCTAGATGTGAGTGAACAAATGTCCCATTCATTTGCTGAGCTTGGTTCAGCCAAAGCCACCCAGTCCCATCTTTTCTAACTAATGGGGGGAGGGTCCTAAAAGTTTATTAAAACTCATCACCCTGATCTCCGCATCGACAATCAAACTGAAAAAGGCATGGAGTTTTGGAGGAGTCACGTTCATATTTTGCACCACAAAAGCCATCTAATCAACCCCATGCTGAGATTAGTGCATGCCTCCTGCAGAACTCTCTCTGGAGGAAAGTCACACTGTGGTTGAGTAGGCCTCAGTGTCCGGCTGTGTCTTCACATAGGGCCATCAAGGTCACCCCAGAAGAACAGATAATCAGCAATGGAATTGGCACCCTCTGTCCCCAGCTCTGGTTTGGAAGTCCCCAATCTGTTCTCCCACCGTGCCTCTCAGTAACAGGAGCCAGTGGACAAAACAGCTAGGACATTGAAAAAGGTGGCATACAGGCTCTCATATCTAAGGGTCCCTTCTTAGTGCACAGCGCTGGGAGAGGATAAGAAGGGCCCCGATACTCAGTCATGGCAAGGATGGAAGCATGGAAACGCAGATGGTCTGAAGCCTATCAGAGTGCCTGGTAAGCTCAGTTGTGTTATGTTGGCCTCTCTGCTATCCAGAGTGTGAGTTAACGTCAAAGACATGTAGATGCTTTTGTCATTCCTGTGGTTGGTTCTTTTCTAAAGCCCTCTATCTTCCCCCTTCTCTACTCAGGTCTAGTAAGTAAGAAGCAGGGCTTAGGTACTGGGGTTGTCAGTGGCTTCATAGTCTTTTGAGAACTGTGCAATGATTCTTCGAGCCAGAGGGTTAGTGGTCTTCAGCAGCTCAGCCGCTGAGGGGCGGGTCCTAGGAGTTGCCTTACTTCCCTTCTTCTGGAGCAAGGCCTTGAAATCATCATTTCTGCCAGCATCTAGGCAGGCACTGCCACTTGGCCCCGAGGCAGCAGCAGACTCACTGGTGGGAGAATCAGCTGTAATCTTCACTGGTGAATGGGAGCTGGGTCTGCTGCCTGTGAAGCCCTCCCCGGGCTCTTTCCAGCCCAGTAGCTTTCTTTTGGACCTAAATGAGAGAAAGACTGGTCTGAGTGAATTCAGGGAGCAGACAGCTAGCAAAGCTTTGAAGAACTGCCAGCCAGGGATGTGCTCAAAATCATGCATTATGTCAGCTTTGTGCTGATAGGCTGTTCCTCACCTCTTAGCTCCCAGGTCCCTTGTAGGGCCCTCTGTTCTTTACATGCTTTTCAATGCCCACAACTGCAGTCACTTGCCCTATGCCCTTTGCCCTACGTTCAGTCCTTATTAGTTCTGAGATAAAAAACAAACTTAAAGAATCAAGTCCAGTAGCTCAGTGACTGAATCAAAACAGCCAGGGGTTTGGAATTGGTTTGAACTGGTGCTCCAGTTCCAGTAACTGGGCTCATAGAGTCACGCACCTCATTACCAAGCCCCTGCCTCATGCCCCTATGCACACTTCTGTTCCCCCTCTGCCTAAGTCCTTGCTTTCATATGCCTCCCACTGTTCCATATCACCTTGTGATAGAATTCTGTGGTACAAGAAATTCTGTGAAGGGTTAAATGTCTCTGACTGCAGATAGAGCTGTGAGGGAGCAGATGGAGACACAATAGGCCAAGCAGTTGCTAGGAGACGAGGGGCCTCTCTCAGCACCTGGTCCTCCCCTCCTCCACTTCAACCAAAGATATCAGTGAATTTGAGATGCGAGGCCCCAGACTGCGCTCATATATGTAGGTACCAGGACTTAATCTCCAGTTGCAATTCCAATGGCTGCTCAGAGGCAGCAGTTTTTCTTCAGGTAGAAAAGGGGAAAGCAATTGCAATTACAATGAAGGAAAATTATCCTGACCTGTGTATCACAGTAAATAAATCTTCTGTTGTTCGAGAAGCCACAAACACGTCATCATCTTCCTCTGAGATCCACTCGGCTGTTTTATCACTGATTAAACTTTTCTCTTCGGTGCTTGGTTCTACAGACCTCCCTAGGCATAAGAACCAAAAGGAATGACTTGGACCATGATAGCTAGGACAGAGCATATGCAATCTCGTCATTTCCCTCAATGTTCAAAGCAGCTCTGCATGGACAGCAGGGCAGAGGCCTTTGGTGTCTCCATTTTGCTAGGAGGAACATGAAGTACAGACGGTTAATGATTTACCCCCAGGCCTTCAATGCCCACATGGTGAAGACTGTCCCAGACTCCTGTTCTCATGCATGCTTTTCATTACAACAGATCATCTGAGCATGCTGGTTTTCTTATTTAAAAAAAAATTAGTGCTGGGGATGGAACTCAGGTCCTTGCACACACTGGATAAGCTCTCTGGCACTGAGCTATGTCCCCAGCCCCCCTTGTTATAAAAACATAATTAAAAACTCAAGATACTGAGAGAAGGGTAAAGCAATTATTCTCACCCAGGGAGGGGGACAGGATGAGACGTGCTTGGATCGGAGGGAGCCTGTGGAGTTGGAGGGAGCATATTGAAAATAACCTGTGGCTTTGACATGTTCACTGGCTTTTGTCACAGTGACTAACTTATGCTGAAAGTCTAGATCAGCTTAAAGAAGGTCATGAGATTTTGCTGTTTAGTATTTAGGATTCAAAAATGATGAGAAACACAGTTGAGCCTTGAGGACATTAATAAAAATAAGCAAGTCATAAAAAAAAAAAAAACCACCAAATCTATGACTCCACTCAGCATCCAGAGCAGTCAGATCCATAGACCTGAAAAGTATTACTGTGTTCATCGGGGGAGAAGGAAAGAGGGATGAGAAAGAGGGAGAGGTGGGGGGAAGGGGGAGTTGTTTCAAGGTTGTAGACCTTCATTTTCCTAAGATAAAAGGCATTCTGGAGATGGGTTACTCAACATGAATATTCTAAAACTCTAATGAACTGCATGGCTAAAGATGGTTAAAGTTAAGCCAGGGATGGTGGCACATATCTACAATTCCAACATCTGGTGGGGGGCAGGGAGCTGAGGTAAGAAAATTGTGACTTTCAGGATAGCCTAGGTAACAGTGAAACTTTGTCTCAAAAAAGGAGTTGGTGCCAAGAAAGTGGCTCAGTTGGCAAAGCACCTCTCATACAAGGCTGAAGGCCTGAGTTTGGATCCCTGGCATGCATGTAAAAGCTGGACACTGTTGGGCATGCCTATAACCACAGTAATCCAGATCTGGTGGAGGCATGGAGACAGGTGAATGCACAGGGCTTGCTGACCAGGCAGTCCAGCCAATAAATAAACTCTGGGTCCTGTAAGAGAGTCTGTCTCAAAAGACAAAGAATGGCAATGGAAGATATTCAACACAACCTGTGCACTGCCAACCCCCAAACATATGGAAGTGTTTAAACTCTAAGTGTTGTACATATCTTACAATTAAAAAGCCATAGAAACAACATCAACCAAAAAGGAGAATCATTAACTAGTCTAGTCTTACAAGTTCAGGGAGAGTTAGAATCAAACCATGCAAGGAAGGCCATGACCTTTCTTCTGAAAGACACTGGAAAAGGGTGCAGGTGGTGACAGCACATGGTTTCAGAATCCCGTGAGCCTTCCAGAACATTTGAACTTGGTCTTATGGAGTACTGAGCCCATTCACCAATCTAAATTTAGTGCAGCTAATGAAAACTATTGTCTGGTGAGCGGGACTCCCAGGGCTGCATGCCTGGCCGGGCAGATGAGGTCAGGAAGTCCCAGTATGCTAAGGCTTTGTTTGATTTTGTTATCATAGTGCCTGTGCCAAGGGTAGATTATCCAGACTTAGCCTTGGAGCTCTGTCTTGGGTCAATCCTGATCTCCTGAACAGAAAGGCCAAGTTGCAGTTCCTTTTCAGAGTTAACCCAAGCTCTCTACATGTGCTCCCTACAGATTTGACCATACTAGGGCTCTGTCTCTGAACTCTAGTCTCACATCCCTTCCTCTTGCAACCGAAGGGAAAATCCAAAAGACAGCTTACTAACCTGGAGAGATGGCCTCCTTTTCACTGTCAATGTGAAGAGGCGAAGTCATCCTTTTACCAGGTGACTTCAGGTCATCACCAGTGGAAGGACACTTGGCATCTTCCTCCAGGGTGATGATGGGGCTGAAAGGCGGCCGTGGTTCTGCCATGCAGACATCCATTTGAGCTACAGGGGAGGTGAGAGGCAGGTAGAGCACACTGGGCTTTTTTGGTACTGGAGGTGGAATCTTGCTCATCTTTTTCTCAGCTTCTTCCTGGCTCTGGAGACTGATTCTTTCAGGCAGGGCTCTCACCTTGGAGCCCCCGTCGTCTACACTGGCCTGGGGAGGTTGCTGTGTTCCTGAGAAGAAAGCACCAGAGGAACTGGCAAGAGGTGTGAAGACGAGGGTGGAGGGTGCTGTTGACTCCCCAGGACTCCTGCCACTGGGGAAGCTGGGTGACTTTGGTTTCCGCAACACGGTGTAGCTGTCTTGGGGGAGCTGCTTCATGTGTGGAGCGGAGCTCCTGGGTGTCATAGCCATAGTAGGAGAGGTTAGTGGATACTCCCCAGGGAGAGAGGGCGGCCTGTGAACCAAACTTGGAGGCCTTCGGGCCAGTGGAGGTTTCTCGGCTATGGGAGGCTTCACTTTTCTCTCTGGCAAGGTGAAGACTTCTTCAGCTCCAGGTTCCTCAGTGTAATCTGGGCTCTCAATGTCATCTTCTGGCTCAGACTTGCTAACTGACCTCAGGCGAACAGAACGGAGGTCAGACTGAGTAACCATGGGCATGATTGGCTGGTTTGGACTAGTTTTCTGTGCCAGTTTGGCTCCAAAATTGGTATCAGAGTGATGGCGGCTCACCTTGGTTTTGCTACGGATGGAAATACTCATCCCCGACAGATCCAGGGTGGTTGATGAGGTCAGTGGTAGGTCAAATGATAACCGTGACTTGCAGATCTTCTCCATTGGGGATGTTGGGGGCAGTGATGACTTCCTTTCTGGTACCACTGGACGTACTCGGACGCTCGTGCTTGGAGGGGGTAAGTGACCCAGGGTCAAAGACATGGAGACAGTGGGTGTGGGAGTCTCTGACTGGCTGGAGTAGCCACTGGAAGGGGACATCAGTCCAGTGGGCCTTCCAGGGGAAGTTACTTCCCTGGCTTCCACCTCAATAGAGAGCTGGGAGGGTGTTGTTGCTCTGGAGGTGGAAGGGGAGGCCAAGGACTCTGAGCTTCCCTGAACTTGAGTGCACTCAATGACTGTGGTGCCGGTGGCAGTGCTGGAGCTGGACAAGGATTGGTAGGTGTCACCAGACTTCCAGTCAGTAAGATACCAGTGGTGAGAGAACTGTGTACCTTCTGGATCCTTGAGAGTTGGCACGGCTGGGTGACCTTGAGCATCTGGGTGAGATGGATGGTGCCCTTGGTGTTCCAAGGAGAGGCAAAGGCTCCTGGGCCTCTGGTCCTTGGGCAGTGCCAATTCACCTTCTGGTGGGAGGACTGGCTCATCTTTGACTAGTGAGACACTTCGCATGGGTGGAGAGGGCTTCTTTTTGGCCTTCTTGAGCGAAATACTTTTGGATCTCTGCCTTCTGTGCCGCGCCTCCTGCTCAGTGCTGAGGGCTGCAATGTTGTCGGTACTGTTGCTGCCTTCAGAGCTTGTACTGGCATAAGGCAGGATGCAGGCCTCACTAGCCTTCTGTTCTTCATCATAGTCCACTGAGGTGACACCCGAGTCTGTGGGCACAGACAGTGACCGCTCCCGGAATCTGTTGGTCCCACCTGGACCTGTTTCCAGTCTTGAGGTACCACGGGCCAGAAGGCCAATCTTGGGAGGTCTTTCTGGTATTTGCCTTCGTTGAGTGGCGTGCTCAGAGTAGCTGGGTAGACCAGTGCATCCTGCTGGGTTGTCACGGGTGACAAAGAGGGTAGCCGCCTCCTTAGGGACCAGAGGTGGGAGTGTGTTCAGAGAGACCCAAGAATTCCCAGAGGAAGGTTTTTTTCCATTTTCACTGGCTTGATTGCCCTGGCTGCTGGCACTTGGAGTCATGTATGTGAAAGCATCTCCCTTCCAGGAAGCAGAGAATGTTGACTCTGTTGGTCCATTGCAAGAACTGGGAACACTGTACACCATTGCCATGCTCTCCATGCCAGGAGGGTCTGGGCCACTGCGTGCCTGGTGAGGGTCTGCAGGCTCACTAGAAGGGTGTCTCAGTCCTGGCGAGGTGAGACTTGGGAACCGAGCTTCTTGCCCAATAGCAACTCTTCCCTGAACAACTTGAGCTGAGTGGCCAGGCCTGATGTCTGAGGTGGCAGAGCAGGCCAGACTGCCTGCTGGGCTGTTGCTGTGACCTGGAGATGGAAAACACATGTTACTGGTACAGCAAAGGGATTCCCCCATCAGCTGTTTTATGACAAGAAGATCAACTCTGTGCCAAGTAGCATTTGCCAACAGCTTTGTCAGAATTCCTTGGTTCTTCCTTTTCACAGATGAGGATGCTGGGGGAAGTTGGGATCTTGCCCATCACCACACAGTTAGTCACAGGGTGCCCTTCAATTGGCCAGATGGCTGCGAAAGACTTTGCAGCATTGATGGCTCTTTTCAGAGTACGTCACCTGGGACTACCTCGGGTTTCCCCATACTTTCTCCCTAGGTTCATGAGACTAGCAGACACCAGGGTTCATCAGTCCTGAGGCTAGAGCAGAAGTTTCTAAACTAACTAAAGACCACAGCACTGTGTGGCTCGCAACTCCAGCAGTGAATCTGGACTTGGCCAGAATGCCATATTTCTGCTATCTGCCACCTTTTGCCTTTGAACATAAAAGACTTAAGATAACTCACAGATGTGACAACACCATTCAGATGTTCCAACCTCCACAAGTTTTCTCACATCCACAGCTATGACCATTATAACATGATAATTCATAATAGCCAGCATTTGTTAAATATTGACTACATCCCAGGCACATGGCAGGCAGACTACACAAATATCTTTAGTTATCACAGTGGCTATATTGGGTCAATACAAGACAACTATTGAGGGACTGGGCGAGTGATTCCCCATTTTTATCAATTCGCATGAATTTAGCATATATGGTAATATTACTTTTTTTTTCTTTCTTTCTTTCTTTCTTTCTTTCTTTCTTTTTTTTTTTTTTTTTAGACAAGACCTCATTATGTAGTCTTTTGCTGGCCTAGAACTCATGGAGACCAAGCTGGCCTTAAACTGGAGGCAATCCTCCTGCCTCTGCTACTGAGTGCTGGGATAAACAGTGTGTACTTTGTATCTAATTTACATTATATTTGCAACGGAAAACAATAACATAGTGGATTTATTAGCCTAAGATACCTGTTTTCGGCATTCAATTGCTGGTCTTGCCAAGGACCCTTGGTTAACATTAATCACCACATTGGCTTTTTTAGGATAGTCAAAGTCCCTCTATCCAGAATTATTCTAGTTCCCTACTGCCACAATGGCACTTGCATGGCAGAAGTAGGGGGAGATGGGGAAAGGGTTTGAGGGAGTCAACTGTTTTGGGGTCACCTGGGTCTCGCTGAGAAAAGTTAGAGAATCCAATAATGGTCCGCCTCCGCCTCAGGGTGGACTTGGGGTTCACGGCTGTCTCTGTGTTAAACAAGGAGTGTCGAAAACTTGCATGTCTATCAAACTGCTGCCCTGTAGCCAAAATAAAGACACTTGGGTGCATCCTGGTTTCTGTTTAAAGTACAGTGGAAACTGGCCTGAGGTAGAGAGAAGGGATGGTGGCAGTAGCAATGAACATGAATAGCAGCATCCAGGAAGGTGGCCCCTCTTCCCCTATCCCTCCCAACTTGGCAGCACATCAGAACTTCTTAGATGCACTGAGCAGTATTTTTCAACTCTGGCTCCATACTGAAATAAACTGGGTAGCTTTTGAAAATCCACAATTTGAACTACAGAATATTCAACTTTCTGGGAGGAGGGCCTAGGTAGAAGCATTGCTTGGGTATCCTTAGGTGGTTTTTCCCATGCATAGCCAGGGGTGAGCATCACTGCTTGCTGGGGCTAGATGTTATTCGATTGTGATTATTGTTTTTCTTATGGTGCTGGGAACAGAAGCTATGGCCTTCTACATTCAAGGCAAACATTCTACCACTGAGATGCACTCTGTAGTCCTGGGTGTTTCTTCTCTGAGCAAAGGACTCATTTGGTAATCCAGGCTAGACTTGCCCTCATCACCCTGCCTCTGGAGTGCTGTGATTACCAACAAGTATGTGCCATCATGTCTAGATTGACTTCACAGAGAACAGGTGAAGATAGTGGCTCCAGGAAGATATCCTACTGACCCCAACATTTAGGACCCCAATAGTCTGTCCTACAGCCACCTGACCACATGAGCAAAATTGGCAGTTTGCTTTGACTTAGCCTTATCTAATTCTCTTAAAGTGCTGGGTCAGCTTTTAGTTTCAGGAATTTGTTGTGAGCAGAGTCAGGGTGAGGAGGTCCATGGGGCTAAACAGGCAGTTCCCCTCCCTGTCTCTAGCTTGGCGGCTGGTTGAGCAGGAACCTCCTCTCCCCGCCAGTCACACCACTGCAACCCCTTCCCAGCAAATGGCTCCCCAGGAGAAACTCAAGACCATCCTGAAAGTGAGATAGCCATTTTAGACAGAGCGCATCAGTGTTTGTTGCTTTGTGTGGCTCCCATTTACTGTTTGATTCCCCCTAGCAAAAATTCCTAGGCCACAAGCTCTAATTCCTGCCTCTCTTTCTCAAGATGACTCTAGGGTCAGTGGATGGACCCATATCCAAGGAGCATGGTCACACAGAGACAGAACTGTCCTCATTGCCTTCACCAGCCTTTTCCAACACAACAGGGCCCATGCTAGCTTCCAGGCCTCCTCCGGTCCCTTCAGATTATTGAGGTCTTGCTTTTATCAGGCCCCTGCTGTGTTCCCTGATATGGCTGGCCCTTTTCCTTGCAGCCACTGGAGTGAGAATGTGAACCCCAGCCTGGAGACTATGATAGTGCTGTCAACTTGACAGAACCTAGAATCACCTGGGAGATGTGTCTCTGGCCATGAATGTGAGGGTTAACTTGATTAGCTGACACGAAAAGACCCAACTCAACTTAAGGATGGTACCATTCCTTGGGCAGGGAATCCTGGACCCTATAGATGGAGAAAGGGAACCGAGCAGCAACAAGCAGCCATTGTCGTCTGCCTGTGGACCCAATGTGTCTAGCTGCCTTCAAGTTCCTGCTGCCTTTGATAACTGTGAACCCATATAGACGCTTTTCCCCTTAAGTTGCTTTTGTCAGGGTGCCTCCTCACAGCACTGAGAAAGGAAACTAAGATAAATCTTTCTTCTCTACTCTCAAGGTAGGGCCCCCTTTTGGTTTTTCTGTCTTTTCCCTCTGTGCCCTTTGTGTCCCCTCCCCTTGTTACACTACAGTTAGACCACAGTGCTCCGATTCCCCACTCCTTCTGCCCATTATTTGTAATATTCCAAACCCAGCATTGGGTTTCTAACATTATCTTTACCTGAAACAAACACAATTCACAAACTTTTTTCCCACTTAAACTCAAAAGAAGACCCAAGTTCAGAAAACTTTTGGCACATTCTGCAAAGAAGCGCTTTTGTTCACTGTTACATTGTATCGGTTGTAGGAGCAGTGGAGATAGATATGAGTGGAGGAAGAGGGGGTCATAGTCCCCTCTTCTGCAAGCCTCCACTCCCTGGGAAGTCAAGACCTGGACAGTGCAGAGTGAGCCAGCAGCCGATAGAGTGGCCCCCCCTCCCCCACACCCAGTGCATTTGGAGAAGATGGGCCTTTTGCATGAAGGGAAGCAAACAGGTGGTGCTAAGCAACTCTACCAGAGATGTTGATGGGCACAAGGTCAGACTGCGTGGAGCAGGGCTGAAGCCGGAGCTTCTCCTTTAGGATGGGTAGAGGGAAGGGGCCATTCCAGGCAGTTTGTTTGTCGGCTGTAGACAGGTTCAGGCAGGCCTCGGGGGCCCTCACGCCCTGGGTCGCAGTCTCATCCTCGCTCAGCTGCCGTTTTGCAGGCTGTTGGGAGAGAGGGTGATGGAAAAAGTGTGCCTCTGACTGGAGAAGAGCTGGTGCCCATAAGATGGCTGCTTAGGCAGAATGGTTCGAGGCGTCCTCTTGAAGGCAGGAAACCATATACAGGCTGCCTGGCTAGGCACCTGCTGTGCAGGGCCATTCCTAGTGAGACCTCGTGGTAGCTCTGCTAGTGAGCAGTGATGAGCAGCAGCTTCCAGGGGATCGCACAAGCAGTTCAAGATCCCCTGTCGGTGGGTGCACGCTGGCTCTCCCAGGTTGGGGAAGAGGCAACTCACCATTAATACAAACTCCAGGCGCTTGGCAGACTGGGGCCTTGGGCTGGGAGTAGGCTTAGGGGCCTCATCTGAAGAGCGGAAGGTCTGCCCCAGAAGTCTGGCCTCTGAGTACTGTTCCTCATATTCTTCTGAAAAACAGCATAGTGGAGACACACTCTAGGGGGCCTCAGCCAAGTGCCAGGCTCTGGGAGGACAATGAGCCAGGCTCTTGCACTAAGCTGCCCAGCCTGATTGCTTCTTTGAGCTATTTCCTGGCCACTGGCTTCAGAAATGGAAAGTGCTTGTTTCTTGGGACTGTGAGGGTGGAGGAGAAAAGAAAGGCAGTAAATCCAAGCTGTGCTGTTTTGGGGACCGTGCCCTCTCTAGGTGGCCCCCACCTTAAGCACTCAACTGGGAGCCAACACTCAGGATGTAGATACCCTTTGCTAACAGTTCCATTTTCTGAGGTTCTGCAACTCTTCAGGTGTTTTTGCAGTGCTACCAAGGAACAATGTGCATGAAGCAAGATGAGCTCCACACTGACAAGTCCAGTCTGGAACTCTGTCTCGAACTGCAAGAAGTTTACATTTTCTTTGTTTTCTGTGAGACAAAGTCTTGCATGTAGCCCAGGCTGGCCTCAGAACTCAAGACCCTCCTGTCTCAGTCTCTTGAGTGCTGGGATTACAGGCTGGTGCCACCACACCTGGCCGCAAGAACTCATAGTTGGTTTGGTTTCACTGTGGATGGGCTCAGGTCTAGGGAGGCTAAAAGTAAGGAAACTGAAGGTGGTGGCATAGACGACAGCGAAGTTCATGAGCAACATGAGGAAATAAGTATGTGTAAGATTTGAGTAGGGTTGACCAAAGCAATGGCTTAGATGAAATGCAGAACAACACCCATGGCTTTGAAGAAACTCCGAATCTGGTACTGGGCCTTGCTCTCATGGCTGGTCCTTTGCATTAGTGTCCCACTCTATGCTCAGACTCTCTCTTCAGCAGCCCTTCCAGGTGCCTTTTCAGTCTCGGGACAGACACCTGAAGAACAGCCCTTCTTTTGGACTGTGGCTACTGAGCATGTCAGAAGCTGTTCTTTGGAGGTAGAATGTGCTCCCTCTGAGTTTCTGCTCCCTAGTCCTAATTTTGCCTGTGGTGATAACAGCACACTCACCCACCCCCACCTTGTACACTAGCCCTTCCTTGCTGGACACAGGGCTCATTGTTATCTCTCAGCATCTTGTTTCTCCAAGATCACCACTGCCCTTTGCAGAGAGTTAAGGGTTTTGGCTGCATCCCAGTTGGGAGGCCCATCAGGTGTTTTCTATTCTGCACTGGAGTTAACATTTGCTGGTGTGGAGAAATAAGAACTGATAAGACCTTTTGTACATTTAGTATTCATTAGACACCTCTTCGGGGATCCAGCTCTTTGTCCAGTGAAGAGAAACTCAAGGGTAGCAAGAGATGGCTTTTTGCGGTGCTGGACATAGAATATTGGGGCTTGCACATGCTACCACTGAGCTACACTGCCAGCTTGGGGATATGATGTCAACGGAGAAGCTCATTGTGATTGGGAAGTTATTCCAGGAACAGTGTGTGGAGTCTGGGTTAGGAGACCCTACAGATGTCCCCTTTGTTTAATTTCAAGGCATGGGAGCTATGATAAGGGAAGGAATATGGGTCTCCATTGAGGAAGGCTCCTATTTCCTTCTCTGTGAATTGCCAGACCCCTTGCCCTGCCTCAGCTTGTATCCTTTCCCCTTATGGACCACTGAATCAAAAAGGGAGGGAGACAGCGACAGCTCTGGAAACAGTCTTAGCATCATCAGTCTGGAAGGTGAAAAGAGAGGTGCTTTGGAACTGTTTTCTTTCTTTCGCTGCTCCCCGTTTCTTCTTTGCCCCCCTCCTGCTGCGCAGACGCCTTTAGGCAGCCCCCTCCCTCTCAGTACCTTGCAACAGGCTCTGGAGATTGAGCTGCGCCTCGCGAAGCAGTTCCTCTACACTCGGGGGCCTGCCCGAGGAGAGGAACACGTTCACTGGCTGTCGCCATGACGACCTCGAGTGGGCAGTCGCTGTCGCATTTTCCCGACCCGAGTTAGCTGCAGCTAGGGAAGGAGAGAGTGAGTGAGAGCGCAGCCGCGGGAGCCAGTGGGCTCCCTCAGTTCCCGAAGGCCCGCCCCTGCGGGGGGCGCGCGTGGCTGCGCTTAAAAGGCGAGGGATCGCTGTCCGCAAGATTTTTCCTCGACAGATTCTGCCGCAGTCCGTTCCCTCCCGCTCGCCTGCTTCAGTCCGCGCCACCGCTGCCAGCATCTCATCTGCGCCTGCCGCCTCCCGGTCCCACGCTGCTGCCCGCCCTCTCCGACCCCAGCTGAGAGGTAACGCGTCCCGGACTGAGCCCCTGTGGGTGTGGCCCGGGATCGCTTGCACCCCGTCGCCCTGTCGCCGCACTTTGGTCGCCTCCCGCGCCCACCTCCTCATTTCTGTCTCCTCCCTCAGTCCCTCTAAGTCCCTGCCCCCAGCTGTGGGACACTGAAAGCCCCAGGAACTAGTCACGATGTCAGAGGCGGCGGGAAATCTCAATAGCCTCCGCTTGGCGAATGTGGCCCTGCGAGAGGAATTAAATGCCCTTCGAGGAGAGAATGCCCATCTGGGCCTGCAGCTCGGAAGAGCCTTGGCTGAGGTTAATTCCCTGCGGGGCAATGTCTCGAGCTACGTTCGCTGGCCGATACCCATAGTGCCCGTCCTTGCCGAGGAGAACTTTGAATTACTGATCAGTGAGACCGATCCCGCTCCCGAGGAGGAGGTGCCTTTCCTGTGCTGGCCTCCTCCTCGCACAGATCCCGAGTATGTCTCAGATGATCTTTTGATTAACGTGGTCCAGGACTATACCAACCCCGACGGGTCCGTTGAAAATCCTGTGTCACCCAGCCTGTCCCAGTCGGAGCTGCACTCCCCCGCGTCAAAGGAGCCACCCCTACAGGCCCTTCTGCCACCGCTGGAGCGGCCAGACATAGAACCCTTTTCAGGCGACCCAGTCTACCTGGCTGAATTTCTGATGCAGCTAGAGAGTTTCATAGCAGATCATGAGGATCACTTCCCTGGGGGCGCGGAACGGGTGGCCTTTCTGATTTCTTTTTTCACAGGGGAAGCGAGAGACTGGGCTATCTCAGTCACTCAGGAAGGAAGCTCCTTGCATGCCAACTTCCCGCGCTTCCTGGATGAAATCCGTAAGGAATTCTGTGGCCCCATCCCCTCACGCGTAGCTAAAAAGGCCATCCGTAAGCTCAAGCAGGGAGACTGTACTCTGGGCAGCTATGTAGATGCTTTTCAATTCTTGGCCCAGTTCTTGTCTTGGGATGACTCTCGCCTCCAAAACCAATTCCTCAAAGGTTTGTCGGATTTTTTCCGAAAGGAACTCTTATGGTCAACTGAAATGGCAGACCTGGATGAGCTGATTCTTGAGTGTATGGAGATAGAAAAGAAAGCGCGTGTCCCCAAGGCAGCCCCACTCCCTGGAGTTCAAAATAGCGTCTACCATTTTGTTCCAGTTCCTAATGAGGATGAAAATGAAGGTGTGGAGTGCTACAGTGAGAATGAGGATGAGGGTGAAGAGGCAGGCGGGCACAGGATTTATTTGATGGATCAGAGGAAGCACATGGATGTTTTCTCACAAGAGCTGAGGGAGGAGGAGGAGGAGGAGATGATGAGGAAGGAGGAAGAAGAGATGGAGGATGAGGAAGATGAGGATGATGAAGATGAGTATGAGTATGAAGATGAGGATGAGGAGGATGAGGAGGAGGAAGAGGAGGAAGAAGACAAGGAGGAGGAGGAGGAGATGAGCAAGAATGAGGATGGTGGTGAAAATAAGTACGAGGAGGAAGATGAAATTGAGGTTAGGGTCCTGGAGCCAGAAGAGGAGCAAGGGAGGGAAGAGATCCAACATGTGTATTTGCACGACTACATGCATGTACACATGCATGCACTTGCTGCCCACCATCATGGCCTACATGGAGAGCTGATAGAGATAGAAGAACCTGTCCTTGTTGACACTTCAACCCAGACCATTAGCTCTGGGATAGGCTACCATGCTGAGAATTACCTAAGCATATCACCTTCCATACATTCTAGCAGGCAGAGGAACCAGAATCGAGTCCCACTTCTGGAGGGTCTTCCAGATACCAATGCTCCCTTCTACAGCTCTCCACCACTGATTCGCCATGCCAGTCGTTTGGGGCAACGCCAAATGCGAAGACGTCCCTCAGTGCTATTCTGCCTCAGTCCTAGACAGGGGGGCCACCGAGCTCAAGGCCGAATTCGAGTGTGAATGCTGGGGTGAGTTGGCCACGGGGAACACACCCTTCTACTACATCCCTTGCCTTTGCTATTGCTGCTGTATCTGCCCCATCTACTGACCAGTCCTTAAGAAAGCGCTCCAGGCCTGAAGAACTCAAAGAACACCTGCAGAATTGCAGACTGGCTTGCAGCCACAACCAGAGAGTGAAATGTGCCCAACCAAGGCTAACTAGGGAAGGAGAGGTCAGTAGTCACTGTCCTCTTGCCAGGTATTCTGCTCAGTTCTAACACAAGATGGAGAGCAAGTTTCTGGGCCTGTTCTTGTAAATGCACTGGTCACTTGTGTCTTCTCCTCTAGTTGTCCCCAGTCTTTGCCTCTCCTGTGTTTCTTTGCCCTGTGTCCTACGGTTTTATCCTGACTGGCTCAACAGGACTTCACCCAATGCCTCAGTGATCTGCCCCCAGTGATCTGAAGGACAGGTTCCATTAAACTCTGATGCCACTGAGGCCACTTACTAGACAATGAACAGGATGGCACCAAGAAATATATACTTGCCCTATGTCCAGCAGAAGGACCTGAAAGGGGAACCTATACCTAGTGCAGTGAGAATATGCAAAGTCATGCGTGCAATGGACAGCTTGACTCGAGATTTACTCTCTTTGGCTGATGGTGGCAAACTGACTTCACTTTCAGTACTGGATTTACCTTCCCTCAGACTCCTGCACCAGGACCCTTTAGCAGGCTTGGCCCTTCTTCCCTTAAAGGACTGGTATTAAGGGGAGGGGGAGGCAGAGCTGGCAGCAGCATCACAGCTCAGTTTGACATCCTAAGGAGTGAACAGGGCCCTTTTTTGCCCAGCTAGGCTTTGGCCTGCAGCTCCAGCTAGAGGCCTCTGAGGAGACTGTATCCTCAAGGTGGTGGAGGTGGCCTTGCTGGCCTACTCTTTAAGCTTCTCTGACTCTAAGGAATCTTCAGTTCTGAAAGAAGAAGACAGGGCCAGCTCTCCAGAGACTGCACCCATGAAGCAGTGCTGCCCAACACCTCCACGGCCCTCCAGGCCTGGTGCCAGCATGGCTTAAGCCATGACTGCCTCCTACACATTCCAGGGCCTTTGTGGGCACAAATTCAGGTGCCCTTAGAAAGAGACCTGCTGTCCAGTTTGGGTCCAGAAAATACTGTGGCTGGAGTGAAAACTACACATGTAATATGTCAGTTCTGGCCACAAAATGGCAGCCCAATTCACTGCTGGTCCAACCTGACCCTGGACACTGAACTTGCTGCACAGTGCCTAGCAGCTGAGCAAGTTCAGCCCCTGGGGTCTGACCAGCAGGAAACTGCAAATAGAGTATGTTCCTCATTGGAATCTGAAGATGAGGACCCAGCTCTCCAGAATTTGAAGCAAAGACCAGAGGAAGGAACCCAAGGAAGAGGAATCCCAGACAGACCTAGTCCTCAGACTGGTTTAGGGTGAGATCTCTGTTCATCAGCAAGAGGTAAGGCACCTTTTGGCTTATTGCTTTTGTTTCTTTCCCTAAGGATCAGTAGAATCGGGTCCCTATGGCTTGTTGCTACCTTTACAATGGTTCCTTGCAAGAGAAGAATTAACATATAGTCATTATGGAAAGTTTGGGAAGCAGAGAACACATTAAGAACAAAATAACCCCCTTGCAAACATGCAGAATCCCACCACACAGAAGCAGCATTTGCTCATTTCTTTCTAGTAGGTTCTCAAAGCTGAGGTCATCCTGCTGGAGGGCCAACAGCGGCACTGAAATGGCTGTCACTATGTGGTGTGGAATCATTCCACCCTCCTGAGCTGTTAGACAGTTCAGGTGTTTGGCTTCCCCATTCCCAAGAGGGCAGGGGTAAGGAGCCATGTGAAGACTTTGTTCTGTGTTGTTTTCCAGCTTCTTTCCTCAGGTGAGGGTTCCAGAAGGAAAAGCGCCATTCTTCGAAGCTACGGACCCTGTCTGCTGATGTCAACATGCTGGTCATGCTGTCTGTGTGCTTGTGGAGAACTGCAAAGGGCAGGTGTCCTGTACCTCACATTCCAGAGACCTCCTTGGCACAGGCCTTGCTTGACCCTGTGGTGCTTCTTACTCTGATCATGTGTAGCCTCAGCCAGGGAGAGCACACTTGAGCAGTAAACTGGTTTGTAGGCCTCTGGGGGCAGAGGGGGCTTGGACTTCCTTTGACCTTTTCCCTTCTTTCCCAGATCTTCAATATTTTTTGTGATGTGACAGCTACAGGAGCTGTCCGAAGCTTTGAGTGCCTCCTTGGGTTGGGGTGGGGGGTGGGGGGATGCATGCTGGGTATAAGGGTAGCTCAAGAATACCTGGAGACTTGGGAGAAACAAATATGTTACTGTCGTGACTGTTACTGTTGCATTATTGTGTTGTGAAGATAAATTGTTCTGTACGCTAAAGCTTTCTCTCCTCAATAAAAAAAAAGGGTGTGTAAAGATTGTATCTGTGTTACTGAACGAACATATATGGGGACCTGTGGTACTTCTTAGGCACCTTAGCTGATCTATGCTAGTCCAAAGCCTTCAGATCCTCTAGGCAAAGAAGGTCCAAGCAGTGCTTGGAAAGAAGGAATGAGGTAGGCAAGGTGGAGATGGAGGGCCCTTCCACTTTGGGACACTAGATGGTGCTATGGGACTCCAATGAGCTGGCTGGAAACAAATTCCCAGAGCAGGCCAACCAGGGCCAGCAAGATCTCCCTACTTCTTTCTCATAGACTATGGAGTCAGAAAAAAAAACTGCACCCCATTCCAGGATTTGCTCAGCTTGTTCAGAAACGAATTAAGAATTTTTTACCCGCTGAACCCCTACTACTTGTGAGTGCTGGGCTAGGCACTTAGGGGCTACCATTATTCTTCATCCTGATAACCACACTGGGCAGCAGTTTTTTTTTTTTGTTTGTTTGTTTGTTTTATTCTCACCCTCTTCAAGTTAAGGATACAGGCTTAGAAGTCACTGCCCTGTGGGTGAAAGTGAGTGGCCTCTTCACAATCCTGTAGTTGATGGGAGTTATTCCAGGACAGCTCCTCCCTGCCCCAACTCCATCTGTCCTACTATCTCACAGGCCTGTCTCCCCATTCTGCCCTGTCCTGCCTCCTCACAGGGTTCCTGCGGAGAAACGGTCCTAGTAACAGAGGCACGTTTGCCCTTTGAGAGGAAGAAATGGAGAACCATTTCACCAACATTTCATTGCTACAATCCAGGCTGGCAATGGTGTCTTTTTTTTTTTTTTTTAAAGAAATGAGGAACCCAAATCTCAGGAATCTTAGGTCTGATGGATGGGGGACTCTGGGTCAAGCATACTGTATCTGGGGGCTCTGAGGGAACCAGCCAGGTGAGTGGTGGTTCTGTTCCACACAGAAGCCCAGTGGCATTGCTGAGCATGTGGCCAATTGTCCATTCTGGGGGAAGGATGAGGCTGTACAGGCTGTGAGCTGCCCCATAAACACCAGGACTCTTTCTAGGGCTTTTTAGAAGGTCAAACAGGGTACCCGGAAGCCCTGAGATTTCTCATGATGTTGCAGGCAAGCGGGATCGGTCTGTATAAAGGTGAAGGACAGTAGGAAAAAGGATCAATCAAAGGATCAATGTGCCAGCCCTGCAGGCTTCAAGGCCTGCCCAGCCAGCAACCCTCTTGTTGGCCACACCCTCTTTGCTTGTTTACACTGCTGAGTTCACAGCATGGTATACAGCAGGGTAGCTGCAGCGGTTTGGTCCATAAGTGAAAAAGCGGGTGTGTAAACAAGCCCCTGTGTGGAGAACTAGACGTGACTGCTAAGAATAACTGCAGATGTCAAGATGCTTGGAGGACTAGAGGATGCCAACCTCTAAAATGAAAACGCAGTCATGATTTAGAAAAAAGAAAACAACTCCTCATGCCTTACAAAAGCCTGAGTGTGGGGGATGTAGCTTGGAGAAGCTAGTGAGAAAGCACGCAAACATGGGAATGTACGGGGCTCGGTGCGCACCGGGCAAATACACCACTGCTTTTCTGGGTTGTCGTTGCCACCCAAAGGTGGACAGGTCCCGCCTGGGATCCTGAACACCCAACCTAAGGGAACCTTGCACCTCACAGCAGGCTTTTTTTTGCATTTCAAGAAAAGGGAAATGGCAGAACAGAAGAAAGGAAGGAGGAAGTGGGGTGGAAGGATGAAAAGGATCTTGAGGGTTCCCAAAACCCTCTTTCAAAGAGATGGAGGAAGACAGAGAAGATTCTGCTGCCTGTGGTGCTGGCTTGACTGTTCATTGTTTACCCATCCTGACCTTTAAATGGTCTTTTAGTGAAGAAACTGAGATCTGAAAGTTCACATAATTGGCTCACGGTCACCCCCACAGTGTAATAACCAGAACCTGTGCTCTTAATCTCTACCTACACTACCCATAGAATCATTCTCCGTGATTCCTATTTCTGAAAAGCTTCTGAAGCAACTCCAATGCCAGTCTAGTTGTGGGGACTAAGTAGCCCAGATGACATGTCCTGGCCAGTTTCCTCCAAGATTTCCCATACAGCTCCCAAAGCAGGCACCAAGCCAGAGATACAGTTCTAATACATGGTACACGATTGAGAAATACATGTTACAATGATTCCTCAGCACACATCATGGTCTAGTGTAAGCTCACCCCTCCCCAACATCTGCTTCAACTTCTAAGAGAGATGGATGGTCCATAGGGTGGGTGCAGACATTTGTTTTGGAGAAGCTCGGCCTATTGATGTGTGGCCAAAACTGGCTTATGGGGCTCAGGAAGGGGTGGTGTGGGCTCCTCCTGGAGATAAGCACCTAAGGAATGAGGTGAGAGACTCTCCCTACCCAAGGACCTCCAGTTAGCTTGCCCTGCCTCATGCCCAGACTAGGGAAAGCTCAGCAGGCCATCTCTCCCCAGGGACCCTGGCCAGAAACACAAAGCCCAGAGTTCTCAAGTTGCCTTGGTAACAGGGGATCTACTTGGAAGAAAACAGTTTCTTAAAGGCTTAAAAGGGTGGATATTTCCTTTGACAGTGAGCAGGCCCTGACCTGTTCCCTGCACCCCCTCCCCTTCCTGCCAGCCACGCACAGAAGTAGAATAAGGGCTCCTTACCTCAGCAGCCCTCCTAATGGGGGCTAGGGATAGGGTGGGGACTGGGAAGTGGGGCCCTGGATGTCAGTGTGAGAAAGGGTACAACGGAATGTGTGAAGGGCCAGCCATGGCTTGGGGGAGGGGCTTATCTCACAGGACCCACACCCCACAGAAACAAGGAGAGCCAGTTTCCTTGCAATTCATTTCTCCCCACTTACCACACATAAATGAAACCTGGCCAGAGTATGGATTAGACTAGACAATGTAGCCAGTCCAGACTCTCCATCCCCTCAGTTGAGCCTCTCATTATCTCTCCCCCAGACTATTGCAGTTCCGTGCTGGTCTAACCAGCCCCTACTCTCTGCTCCTGCTAATCAACCCAGTTTCCCTGTGTCTGAGGTGGTAAGTATGGGTGTGGGCACACGCATTTGTGCACAGATACATGCGCTGCTTTGAGTTTACAAATCTCATCCTCAACGGCTCTCCTTGTGGGGAGGAAGGCTCCTGGACCGGATTCTGACATTCTTTGCTATCTGGTCATTGTTATGGTGGAAGCTTCGGGGTGTAGAAACTTTACAGTAGTGAGGTAGGCACGCCCACTCATCCACCAGCCACACTCCTTCCTTCTAGTCTGTCCTATCTCCAGACATGTCGAATCACTTCCTCCTTCTCCTTACACACCAGACCCTCTCATGATGCCTCTGGGCCTTTGAACATCCTAGCCTTCTGCTTTAAAACCTCATAAATAGTCAGGATACAATGGCATGATCCTACAATCTTAATTATGTGGGAGGCTGAGGCTGGAGGATTGTTTGAGTCCAGGAGTTCAAGACCAACCTGCACACTATAAGGAGAACCTTTTGAAGAAGGAGGGTAAGGAAGGGTAAAGAAGGGAAGGGAAGGGTAAGGAAGGGAAGGGGAGGGAAGAGGAAAAGGGAAACAGGGAAATTGGTGGCATTTACAAACATTCTTGGCTCCACTCCAGTGGCAATCTGCTCAGCTCCAAGATTACTTCACGAACCAGCTCTGCTCCCAAACAACCCTGCCCGTCTCAGCTCTTCCTTGTCCTGTACTCCTCGCAGCACTGATCATGATGCTGGAGCTCCACTTAGGAACAAGGGTGTTCTGGGTTGCACCATGGAGCTCACTGCTGCAGGGCCTGTGCAGCGTGAGAATGTGGGCTTTCCCCATGGACTATGGATGCTGCACTAGCAGCCTTTGTAAGGAGGTCTGGCCCCTTAGGCCTGGCTGCTACTGTGCATATGAAGCTGGGAGGTCCCTGTAAAGAGCTGGAGGGGCAGCAATAGGGACTGGAACCATCTAAGCAGGAGAGACACACATGCCCCTCCCTTCAGCCATCAGACTTCTGAAACAATGGACCCCAAAGAATTAAAAACTTCCCAGGAATCACACAAGGGAAGGACTAAAGTTCTGGTGTCACACAGAGGAGGAACCTGCCTTCCAGGAAGAGCTCTGACAACTTAGCAGACCAATCTGCAGGACAGATCAGAGCCCAGAAAGATAATGGGTCAGTGATTATTCCTCACTTCTGTAGCCCCAAATATGGACTTGGACTCACTGTTCCTCTTCTCAACATGGCTGCATTGAAAACAACTTTTATCTGCTTTTCATTATTACTTTCTCTTTAATTGGCATATTGAGAGAGAGGATAAAGCCTAGCTTATTTAGATTGCCAGGCAACTAGTTGCTCCTTCTCAGCTGAGCTCCTTGGCAATGCCCATCATCTCTCTGAGGGCCAGGACCTCCTCTCACTCTGTAGTGAAGAGTGACTCCACTGGGCTGAAGGTTTACACAGACTTAGCCTTGAACTCAGCCTCTGCCTTTCTTGTAACATGTGCCCTTGAGCTGATCACTGTGTTTCTCTAAGTCTTGCTTTCCTTTCTCTAAAAATGGAGGTAATAGAACATATTAATGAGTGCATTGATATGGATCAGCAATGATGATAATAGACAATACCTAGTTAGCACTGACCATGAGTCAAGCCCAAGCGCTTTACATTTATTAATCATCACTACATTCCTATGAGTAGTGCCCCTAGTCCTCCTTCAGTAGATTAAGACACATGACAGAGAGGCAAAACTGACCAATGTCATAACACTAGCATGCAGATAGGCAGTTTTGTGTTCAGAAATGAAGTCCAAGAGAGCTGGGCATGATGACACACACCTATAATTCCAGCATTGAGGCAGGTGGATGGAAAATTCTGAGGCAGATTTGGCTACCTAGTAAGACCCTGTCTCAAGAAAATCACTTGCCACACTAGGACTCAGGCACAGTAGCTCATGCCTTTAATCCAAACACCTGGTAAGCTAAGGCAGGAGGACCCAAGTTCAAGGCCAGCCTTGGATATATAGTGAGGATC